GTGTGTGTGTGTGTGTGTGTGTGTGTGTGTGTGTGTGTGTGTGTGTGTGTATGCGTGTGCGCCCCCACCCACATATTACACACACATAAACGCCCATGTACATGCAGGAGGAGGAGAAGGGAGGTGGATCAGCAGCTCATTGTCATGGAGGTAACAGGAAAGGTGACAGGCTTCKGTCAGTGTRTGTTTGTGTGTGTTTGTGTGTGTTTGTGTCTACCTGTTTAGTCATGGAGTCTATGAGTCGGACATAGAAATCCTGCTCTGTTCTGATGCCTGTTGGGATCCAGAAGAGGAAGGAAAATGAGCAACTTACAGCAATTAAGCAGAACAAACTGTAAAAAATAAATATTAAGTCAAATTTAATTTGCAAGAAATGATTCATTCTTGCAGTTTTTAGCAACAGGTTTGACTAAGATTGTAGTGAACATACAATTTTAACAACTATTTTAATTTTGCCCTTTATTGTTGAATTTTACCCCTCTAATCAGAACCTAAAAAGGGGATCAAATGCAAAAATTTTGTGTAAAAATATGTTTTTTTCTTCATCCTTTTAAAAGGGGAGCAGTTAGCTGCGCTCGTATGAAATCTGAAAACGCTTTGTTCTGTCAAGAAATAATTTAGGTTATAAATAAACCATAAATTGTGTAAATAAAAGAAACGAAGCTCTTGAAATGTAATWTAAATTTCAAAACAAAAACCACAGTCTTGTCTCAGTTTTTACACGGTATGAGTGTGTTTAAGTTGTGAAACAATAGGGGGTTATAAGTGGAAATAAAAGGAGGCTCATGAATCCTGCAGGGTTTAAACATTCATCATTTAAAATATCAACAAGTGAAGGCCTTGGTGCTCCAATCCAATATTCCTGCTTTCTGCATCTCTTTTTTTTTCTTCCAGCAGGGACAGCCTCATTTAGGGACAGTGACAGTGATGAAGACACAGAGCTGCAACAAATGGCCTGCAACAGCTGCTCTGAAATTTGACTAATGGCTATCATGAAACCCTGACATGAACAAGCTGCCTGGTGCTCCCTGGCTGCAACATTCACCCTGCTCACTTTTTTTTTCCACATTAAAACTCAACATAGTTCATGCTGACCCCCCTCAGCTGGATTCCCACTCACCGTTACTGTAGAGGAGCTGCAGCCTGTAGTGAATCCCGTTGTTGGTCTTCTCTCCGCTCGTCTCCTTAACGCACAACAAACACAGAGCTGCTGATTCACTTTTAGGATAATTTTCACATTTTATTTCTTAATAATAATAATAATAATAATAAATTCTGCACTTGTGGAGTTAACTCACTTCACAGATGAAATCCTTGTAATTTCACCACCAAACGTTGCGTTGTTGTGGATTTTTTTTTAATTCCTATGTAATTAGCAGTTATGTTTGGAGAGGGCCCAATAAATCCCACAGTGGATTCTGCCGCTGCATTCTCGTGTGATAATTGATGAGGGGGTTTGGCGCGCTGTTGTTTTTACAGAACAAGTGTTTGTGTTGAGCTGAGCTGTAAATTAAACACGTTTAGGAGGGGATGACTGCCAGAGGAACAAACAGACGTGTTTCTGTGTTACAGGGATGGCTTCGGTTTCTGACCTAATATTAATAATAACAGTTATAATAATGATGCGTAATTTTACGCACAACGGGCCTCACCACCTCTAACATCCTGTTTATTTTTTTTCTGCACCCACCTTCTCTTTCTCGATGAAGTCCACGAAGTTGGTCCTCTCGATCTCCACGGGCTGGCCCTGCCGGTCGTACAGAGCCAGGACGAAGTGGAAGAAGTTGGACTTGCGCAGGTTGGACGGCGGCTGCTTCTCAAAGTGCGCGCGGGCCAGACCCACTCCACTGCGGACACACAGGCAGGAGCAGAGGAGTGTTTTTTTATTTATATGTAGAATTTATAATAGTTATTGATTCTATTTTTTAATTTAATGAATGTTACAAAATGTGTCAGGGGGCCTTGAGGAAGAGACTGAATCAGTTCAGATTTGATGTGATTTATTAAACTCGCGCGTTGAGCCAAGATTAAATTTATTTTTTAGAAACAAAAAAGAAAATGCCTGAAAAACGCGGAGAAATAAATCGAATATTTCAATATTAGAGGTTCACACAAGCAAAAAGGTGCTCATAATTTAATTATATATAAACTTTTCTGTTTGAATAACATATTTATCTTCACAAAATAAAAACATGTGTATTTTTACTCAAAAGCCTGAATTGATTATTTTTAATTTATTTGTTTTCCAAAACATCCTAACTGGGGTTTGGTTGAAACAAATCTGGACCAGCACGTGCTCCCTAACTCTGAGTGAATTGTGAAATTATTCTGAACTAATCTCCAAAGTGTTTCCTTATTTAAACGCTGAGGTGATTTTCTCTGGGATCCTCGCGTTTTCAAAGCATTTTAAATAGATTGTTTTCACACATGACGGAGGATGGAGAGCCTCTTGCTTTTGTTTTCTCCCTCCGGGCAGAGCTCACCTTTGAGCGGCCGTGTTGGCGTCCAACACGCCGCCTCCCTGCATCCAGCTCCGGACGTTCATGCCTCCCAGCGGCTCCTCCTTCAGGCTGCTGCCGCTTCTCTGGATGCTCTCCTGGATCCCAAACATGAACAAACCTCCGAGGCTTTACTCGTATTTCTTTATTATTATTATTATTTTATCCACCCAGCTGCGCGCTTGTCCTCCTCTGGATCCGGGACTCCGCGTAAAGCCGGGATGCGCTCCTAAAATCAGGATATGCGCACTTTTTTTTCCCTTCAAACTCTAAACCCCGAGCAGGGAGAGGACACTAAAACAGAAAATCAAAGAAGATCCAAAGTGTCCAGGTATTTAAAGTTTAAAGTGAAGGATGGGAGCGGATTGAGGTCAGTCCTGCTGCGCTGAAATCCAAAGTTTGAGCTGTCAGAGAGGTAAGGGGTAAAAAAAAAAAAAAAGATCAACCAGCACCCGGATCAGATGTCATCATTGTCTCCTACTTCTTTCTTCTTCTTTTCACTCTTTCCCCTCCTCTACCTCAGCCCTGTGGTCCGGGATGGTGCCGTGGAGTCGGTGATGTCCAACCCAGCGCTGGGTGAGCTGTCCGTGCTCCGCGCGCGCACTGAGGGAACCGCTTTGTGACTCTTCCCAAAGGACCCCCCTCTCTGAGAAGCAAGGGCTTCTCCCACCCTGGAGAGAGAGAGAGAGAGAGAGAGAGAGAGAGAGAGAGAGAGAGAGAGAGAGAGAGAGAGAGAGGCGGTGGGAGTGGAGTTAAAAGGGAAAAAGAGGGGAGGGGACGTAAAGAGAGAAGACGCCCCCAAACAAAGGCGAGTGTGGATCAGCTCTGCCTCGTGGAGCTCCTCTCTCCTCCTCCTCCTCCTCCTCTTCCTCCATCCCGATCCTGCTCTCTGCTCAGTCCTGCCTCATTATGTCTCAGAAGAGTTTTTCATGAGCCCCTGCTCCTGCGCGCTAAAACCCGCAAAACTCTTAAACTTTTAAAGAATCCCTCTGCTCAAACAGCACTTCAGGAGTTTGTCAAACACTTTCTAGAATAGAAACGAAAAAAAAAAAAATAAAAATGGCCATCAATCAAACCAAATGAAGAAAATTTATTTCTGCCCAGTCCAAATTCCTCTGCGGAGCTGGAGTCGCACCGCAGCTCCAACTTTTATTTCCCAGCAGCCGGGTCGGTCAGGATCATTTATATCAAAGTCATTTCTCATATTCCTGCTCCTCATTGTCTTCCAGGCGCGCACACTGACACATTTACACACGCACACAGGGGCCCGCTTTTAGCGCCGCGAGACGCACAAACAAAAGTGACAATAACAATAATTAGCTCAAAATAACAATGAACATAATTGAGGATAATTGCAACCAGATATCCCTGCTTTGTCTCTCCCTCTGGCACCATCTGTTATTTGAAACTATTTATCACACCGCAGGGAGAGGACACAAAACTGAATCCAAACAATAACACTAACAGATGATGGTTGTGAAGTAAAATAAAATAAAAATAAAAGTAAAAACCATCAGTCGGCGTATTGATCGGCTGAGGTGCAAAAAAAGGTCAACAAGTCTCGTCTTATTGTTGTTGAGCTGCCTGCATGTGAGAATGATTGACAGGTCGAGATCTGGCGCAGTTCCAGCCTTTTATTCCCAAAAGGCTGCTGGGAAAAYGCTCGTGACCTTGATTGGGAAGAACAAGAGTCTTTACGTGCGCCAAAAGGAGACGCAGACGCATGAATTTACAGCAGGAAGGGAAAATAAACATGTAAAGGTGAAAGACAAAAGAAAACACTGATGGTCTGTATAAAACAGCTGATCCTGCACAACTTAATTACACCATAAAAAGTGAATATAGTTTAAAATTTAAAGTGCAAAATTATCAGTTAGTGTACACCTACAGCCTACGTCTTTCACCTCTTTAAAGGATTTATTCATCATCATTCATCCTTTAACATTTTTAGATACAAGTTTATATATATATGTGTAATTTCTAAATCAAAACATTAAACGAGGTTTTAAGCAAAACATCACAATTTGGGATAAAAACTCATCAAAAAGCAGTAAAAAATTTAAAAAAGCTGTTTAAAATTCAACATCATCAAACCTTTATAAATGACAGCTACTAACAAAATAAAGTCTCAATTTACTGTTTCATACACGCATGCGCAAAAGGATGCTGTTTATTGGGGATTTTTTTAAATACAAACATAAAGTGTTTAATTCGCTAATGGGAGCAGTTTCTGCAGGTCGGAATGATACTCCAGAGGCTTGTTGTTAAAAATGACGCAACACCACCATCGTGTGGCTCAACTGAGTAACTACACACATAATGTTTAAATTCAGGGGTTTCCAAATCTTTTGAGACCATGGACACCCACCCCTCATTACAAAACTACAAACAAAGCCACAATAAATTGTACTTGTAATAAAACTGAAATAATATTATTTCAATATATTATTCTAAACTAATGATTGAAAACATATTGATTTTATTGTAATGATTTATAACATTAAATAGATTTAACAGTTTTTATTTATTCATTATTTATGTTTTGTAGGTTTTTTTTGCAGTTTTTTCCCACTTATCTTCCCTCAGCTTTTTGAGGGCCCCTAGCACTCCCCACTTTGAAAAACACTGCCTTAATCAAGCCACATAGAAAAAAAGGCCTTGAAGGACAAAATTATTGGTACCCCTCGTTTAATGAAAGAAAAACCCACAATGATCACAGAAATAACTAGAATAGGACAAAAATAATATCCCAGCACTTCCAGGACCTTGGACAGTTCCATCAGCTCTTCACACTGTCCAAGGTCCTGAAACATTCCAGCACTTTCAGGACCTTGGATGGTTCCTTCAGCCCTGCACACGGTCTAAAGTCCTGAACACTCCAGCACTTTCAATAACTTGGACAGTTCCTTCAGTCCTTCACAGTGTCTGAAATCCTGAAACATTCCAGCACTTTCAGGAACTTGGACAGTTCCATCAGCTCTTCACATTGTCCAAGGTCCTGAAACATTCCAGCACTCTCCGGACCTTGGACAGTTCCTTCAACCCTTTCTACTGTCAAATGTCCTGAAATATCCCAACACTTTAAGGATCTTGGACAGTTCCATCAGCACTTCACATTGTCCAAGGTCCTGAAACATTTCAGATTTTTCAGGACTTGGACAGCTCCTTCAGYCCTTCACACTGGCCAAGGTCCTGAACATTCCAGCACTTTCAGGAACTTGGAAAGTTCTTTTGACCCTTCCCTCTGTCCAAGATCCTGAAATATCCCAGCACTTTCAGGAGCTTGGACAGTTCCTTCAGCCCTTCACACTGTCCAAGGTCCTGACACATTCCAGCACTTTCAGGAACTTGGACAGCTCCATCAACCCTTCACACTGACTGAAGTCCTGAAACATTCTAGCACTTTCAGGAACTTGGACAGCTCCTTCAACCCTTCACACTGTCCAAAGTCCTGAAATATCCCAGCACTTTCAGGACCTTGGACAGTTCYATCAGCCCTTCACAATGTCCAAGGTCCTGAAACTTTCCAGTACTTTCAAGACCTTGACAGCTCCTTCAGTCCTTCACACTGTCTGAAGTCCTGAAACATTCTAGCACTTTCAGGACCTTGGACATTTCCTGCAACTCTTCACACTATCCAAGTTCCTGAAATATCCCAGCACTTTCAGGATCTTGGACAGCACCATCAGCCCTTCACACTGTCCAAGGTCCTGAAACATTCCAGGACTTTCAGGACCTTGGACAGCTCCATCAGCTCTTCACATTATCCAAGGTCCTGAAACATTCCAGGACTTTCAGGACNTCCAAGGTCCTGAAACATTCCAGGACTTTCAGGACTTGGACAGCTCCTTCAGTCCTTCACACTGGCCAAGGTCCTGAAACATTCCAGCACTGCCAGGACCTTGGACCGTTCCTTCAACCCTTCCCACTGTCCAAGGTCCTGAAATATCCCAGCACTTTCAGGACCTTGGACAGTTCCATCAGCCCTTCACACTGTTTAAAGTCCTGAAACATTCCTTCACTATCAGGACTTTGGACAGCTCCTTCAGTCCTTCACACTGGCCAAGGTCCTGAAACATTCCAGAACTGTCAGGACCTTGGACAGTTCCTTCAAACCTTCCCACTGTCCAAGGTCCTGAAATATCCCATAACTTTCAGGACCTTGGGCAGGTCCATCAGCCCTTCACACTGTCCAAAGTCCTGAAACATTCCAGCAATGTCAGGAMYTTGGACAGCTCCTTCAGTCCTTCACATTGGCCAAGGTCCTGAAACATTCCAGCACTTTCAGGACCTTGGATGTTCCTTCAGCCCTGCACACAGTCTAAAGTCCTGAACACTCCAGCACTTTCAAGATCTTGGACAGTTCTTTCAGTCTTTCACAATGTCTAAAATCTTGAAACAATCCAGCACTTTCAGGAACTTGGACAGCTCCTTCAGTCCTTCACATTGTCTGAAGTCCTGAAACATTCCAGCACTCTCAGAACCTTGGACAGTTCATTCAACCCTTTCTACTGTCCAAGATCCTGAAATATCCCAGCACTTTCAGGACCTTGGACAGTTCAATCAGCCCTTCACACTGTCCAAAGTCCTGAAACATTCCAACACTTTCAGGACCTTGGACAGCTCCTTCAACACTCCCTACTGTCCAAGGTCCTGAAATATCCCAGCACTTTCAGGACCTTGGTCAGTTCCTTCAGTCCTTCACACTGTCCAAGGTCCTGAAACATTCCAGCACTTTCAGGACCTTGGTCAGTTCCTTCAGTCCTTCACACTGTCCAAGGTCCTGAAACATTCCAGCACTTTCAGGACCTTGGAAAGTAATATCTATATATATAATGT